GTATTATTTGTGAGACATAAAATATTTCTTTGATGCGAGTAAATTGAACCAGAGGTAGTATATTCCTTTGCCAGTCTTTTATTCCTCCATGTGAAGTGCAAATACAAGACAAGTAAAATTAAGTTGCAAAGGCTAGCCATTCCCCACGCAACGCGCGCGTTGACTGCCCTAGTAAAATTAAAAATATATAAGGTGATGGGTTGTAAGCAGAAAATGAATATCAATATATAGCACATGCCGCACTAGTTATATTGTCTTCTCGATCACGGCAGGCAAATCAAACGGGCGTAAGACCTTAACCATGATATGTGTAATAAATGCAACCCCAAATCCAACTTCATACAACAACATGTCCATATCAAATTCTTTTAATTATTATAAATGATGTAGCTGATAAGCTCATTAAGTTACAAGGGCCCATGGCCATTAAATTAACTCATCCAATCGAGATTCGGTTGCGTAATATTATAGGAGATTGCTGCAACTATTTGTTGGATAATATACGACAACACATATACTTCATTTTAGTCTCGTGAAATTTTTTGATATTTTTAATGTAACTAAGTTGGATTGCACTATTTTTTGTTATTAAAAATCTATTAAATGGTTAGACTATTTTTTTTCTTTTCAATTTAATTCTCGATAAAGGATCGATGTGAAGCTAACTCGTAAATTACTGTTGTCTATATGTTTTCATCACGGTTAGTACTTAGTAGGCACTAATTGAACACTTGAGTAAAGTAATTAAACCCCTTGTCTTTCTTGTCTCTACTCTCTATGGATCCCCATGGATTGATGCTTTCATGGGTTGGGAGTCCGATAAACCACATTACATTTCAGTACTCCGTATTTTACAACATCAATCTTCAACATTATAGTTTATAGACCAGCCTCTAATTTCTTAATCCTTGCAAACTTATCTCGTTAGGCCTTTTAACACTTTGGGCCTTTATTGGTGAGAGTTAGAATTGTATGGATTTGAAGCTTTCTTTTTTTTTTTTTTTTTTTTTCGCAATCCGAAAACTCTGCTTTGATCATAGACAATACACAAACTTTTAAAAAAATCGGGTGTACAATAATTATTGTACATCCATTATAAAGATAACCTAAAGTGATTAAAAGTTACCTCTGAAATGAATAAAAGTTGCCCCAATATGAGTTAAAGTAACCCAATTCAAATAAAAATTATCTACGCTTTATTAGTAAAGAATCAAATTTTAAATGACTAAAAATCAATTATTAGTGATTGAATGTAATTAAATTACCTTTATAAAACTTTTCTTGTTGTTGATTTATATAAAAATTGTATTATGTTTAAAGTTACCCAAAAAAAGACAAAAAGTTACCCTAAAATTAGCTAAAAGTTACCCTTATACTGCTCGATGTACACTAATATTAGTGTAAACCGGATGTATACAAAAGTTTTTGTAGACAATATTCTCATGGGGTGAGCACGAATCGGATCCAATAAATGTCCGATATCCAATATCCGAATTCGATCCGAAAGGTTTCAATATCCGAAGTTTGAAAATTATATCCAATATTATTGTATAATAATTTTGAATTTTAGTAAAGAAAATGTAAAATATTACGTTGTACCCAAATTCTTGATTATTTTTTTTTTTTAGGAAAAAATCTTAATTATTTGGATCTAATATCCATTATCCAAAATCCAAAATATTTTGGATATTTGAAAATCCATAAATTGATATTCAAAATTCGATATCTGATCCGAAATAGCATAGGATCAGATATCCTACAATATCGTATCGGATGTGGATTGAATTTTCAATCATCTTCCATTGTAAATACTCCGTAAATCCTTTATTTTTTTTGAGGACACCGTAAATCCTTTATCCTTGTGCTAAACTTAGCAAGAGGTAGAACAAATTAAGAAATTCTGTAACTGAGCAACATATTTCCCTTTTTTTTATATTTAAAAGTCTTATTGTTAGTCCCTAAATTTTGTACATTAAAATTGGTGACCCCAATCAAATTGAAATTCACAACATAGCCCTGAAGTATAGGTACTCCATCCGAATGCCAATAGCTGCTGTCTGGTGTGAATAACTGAATATGTTGAAAGTGGTTCCGTGGCTGATACGTAGAACCCTCCTTGGATGGGTGCTACTGCTAGGGTTTAAGGAGAGCAAGGTAACTGACAAAGCTCATCGGTGGTAAATGGTAATACAAGTAAGCTGGACGAAGTGATCTGAGCTGCTAGCGTAGTCATGGGAGTATATTGTAGCTAAAGCTAAAGGCGGTTACATTGCAAAAACAAAACTGTTTACATTCAACCTTCATCAGCATCACCAACATTTTTGCAAACAGTTCAACAAGTATAGCAGCATAATTATATGAAAACCTGTTAAAGATGCACCTAATTAATCGTTTCTAATCGACTACACTACCATGAACAAATAACCCCAAACATTTATCATAGATCATCATTGATTCACATAATATCATACAAAAGAAAATGATGAAGAATTACCTCTTGCCAATCTATTTCATTCACTAGAAGTACAAGAATAACAGAATACAACATGCATTTACAATTAAACAAGAATTACAAAGAGCTAATGTTACATTCAAGTAAGAGAATATCTATTTCAAAAATCAAGGACTAGTATAGTAGTATCCAAGTGAAAGGATTACTAAAAGATTGTCATGGTTCACAATCACAATCCTTCGGTAGCGCCTTGCCAAACTTCAACAAGCTGCTGATCCTTCCTTGTGGCAAACATCTTGTTCCCACCAAATCTCAAATTGGTAATTTTGTCACCTCCCATATCCTTAGCTCTTCCCATCAAAGTCCTCCTAAAAACTCTACCATCCAACACATTTTCACCACTTAATGAAGAATCAACCAATACCTCAGACCATAATTCTATATCTCCACCTTTACTTACAAATACATCACTCCCATGACATTCAACTTTACATCCTAATCCCTCTTTTTTCGAATTAATCAACTTCGTTAGATTTCCTAAACAAACCCATTCACTTTCAGAACCAAGATTTCTCAAATCTAGGAAGAAAACTTCACCAGAATTGGTACCAACTTTAAACATACATGGCAAAGAACTTGAAACCGCGACATCAGCAAAGCAATCTACTTTCTCCTTCATTTCCCACACCACATTACCAGACCTAACATCCCACAATTTTATACAACCTACTACACCTGTTGGTCCACTATGAGAACCAGATGCCATTAACATATTATAACTTGAAACCCAACTTAATTTTGTCGCTGGTATAGTAGAAGAATCAAAATCAGCACCATATATCTCATTTCGAGCAATCTCGAAAACAGGCCTAAAATCACCCAAGAGATCATAAACCACAATAGCATTCGAGTTCCTTCGACTCGATTCGAAACTAGTAAACAAGTGCTCATTGGATGAACCAATGGCCTGAACATTTGAACTAGACCTAGTTGAATTCTCCCAATTCAAACACTGCCTCACAAAACCCTTTTCAAGATCAATTATTTGCAACCCACAAAAATCAGTGGCACCAGCAGCTACTACATCAGGGGCAACTGCCAATAATGAATCGACTGCAACAAATTCAGTCAAAATCGTTGACTTTCTACTCAAAGACCAGTCAAAGGAAGTGATTTTACTACCATGAGCAACATGAACAGAGCCAACTGACGTCGTAGAGATAGCAGAAATTGAATCTCTACCATTTAAAGGAAGAAGCAACGATTTCTGGAGAATTAATGGGTTGAATTGAGATGGGTTGGAGAGAGAATTGATTAAAATTGGCTCAATCCCATAAAATTGGGATTCGGAAATTAGGTCATGAAAATGAAAATTCTTGGATTTTAAGGGAAGAATTCCAGTTCTAAGGAGAGAGAGAAAGATTGAGAACAATTGAGGGTCTCGATCGATAAAGGGTACATCTGAATTTGAATTTGAAGAAGAGGAAATGGTAGAAAGGAAGGAATTGGGGCCAGCTAGGGTTAGGGTTTTTTGGGTGGTTTGAAAGAGTTCACCACCAACATTTAGGGTTACAATAGTTGATTCAGATTTGGGATTTTGAGATTCAATTGAAGAATTCATTGAGAAGCTTAGGTGGTAGCTTTGGTTACTTGAGTTCCAGTAGAGAAGAGAGTGTAAACTTCAGTTGAAAGTTTGACTTCGGACTTTCGGAGAAGACAATGTAGATTGTAGGCGGTCTAATCACAAAGTTGGATTAAATCGTACTCCGTATTTTGCGCTTTTCAGTTTACGCCCTCTAGAAATAAAAATACTACTCCGTATATCCGTTAAATGTTATATGCAATTTTAGAATATGTTATACGAAGTATCTCACAAATCACAAATAATACCCTAAAGTTGCACATAATATTTACAAAAGATAGTACAAGTGGTTTAATTTCTAATCATGGTTAACAATACAATTGCTTAAGTATCCTTACGAATGTTACGATGTTATTTGCATTGTGTTGGTTTAACAGCAATAAAAACAACATTAGTCTTGGATTGGTACGAAGAGAGGAAGGCAAAGTGAAGAGAAATGAGGGATGAGTCGGGTTAGGAGGGTAGCAAGGGGATATCGAATCGTCAATGGTTTGCGGTGGTTCACTAAGGGGGGGTTGAAATATTTGCGAGAGGGAGTGTAAGTGATGAGGAGGAAAAAGAAAATAATGTTACTAGCCTTTTTGGTTAGCATGAAATTGGGAACATCCAAGTCCCACTAAACTTCACAAATGAAGCAACTTTATTGATAGAATATACAATTTTTATCGTAAGGTTAAGGTTAAGGATAATATTTTGTAAATTTTACTATTGATCTCATTAGGTTTCCTAATAACTTGCATATGTATAAATATGATTAATGAAGTATGATCTGTATAAATATGATTAATGAAAAATACTCCAACGAAAGAAGTGTCACGACCGAACAATTATCATATATCAAAACCCAATGTAGAGATCGAAATTACAAGATATTAGAACTAAGAAGAAAGGAAATGGATGCAAATATTATTGGTTACTAGTATCTTCATCACAACTAGCAGGCACAAGTTGAACACCAAATAACTTCAACCCCTTATTTTTCTTGGTCTCAACTGCTTCGCCTTGAACCAATGATAACTCACTTCCATGCAAAATTCCTTTCTCCTTGTCAACTACATTATTATTCTTTGCTACATTTTCAACATTTTCTTTGTTACATTTCACAACCTCAATCATCCAAAATTTCTTCACATCATTAGCCTCATTTTCTCTAAACTCACACGTATAAAAAGTCACAATATCTTTAGCCTCTAATTCCTTCACCCTTACAAACTTGTTCCACCCTCTAGTAAACACAAAACTTTGGCTACTCTTCCAATAACAATACCGAAAATTCCAACTCTTCATTGTATTGTCATAGAATATCAACTCCATGTCTCCTCCTTGATCGCCGCCCTCTTCTTCACCTTCACATACACCAAATTTCCTCCCATTATTATCTTTAACGGGAAAATACTTTATAGCGTACCTTTTTGGAATAACAAGCCTATTGAGCTTTCCAACGTCGCTTGGGGTCAATTCCTTCCTAAAGAGTTCTTGACAATAGTACCCTTCTTGCTTGTTCATGCTATTATGATTATTACTTGTTTGGACATTGCTCACTTGGGAAATGGATGACAAATACTCACCAAATTTAGTTTGGTAAGACCCATCTTTGATCATGTTTAGCACTTGATCAGTACTATAGTGGGCTTGAAAATTGGGCTCATATATAGTAAGAGCAGTCCATGGGAAGTTTCGATGGGCATCACCGGAGTTCCCGTGTCGTAGCTTAATGGCGGCGCTATCATAGGCAGCAGCGGCAGTCGCCTCGGTTTTGAAGGTGCCCAACCAAATCCTGTGGTGGTTGGCATAGATTTGTGCTCCCCAATGACCATTTTGTTGATATACAACACCCTTGTATTTAGAAGAGCCACCATGTTGCCTGTTGGGCCTATCAACAGTGTTGGGCCTATTAACAGTGTTGGGCCTTTTTGGTTGAGAATTGGAGCTGTTTGAATCTGAGGCTTCTGCTTTAGTCATTGTGCTTGACATCCTCTCTTCTTCCATTAATTGAAATTACTCCTATGTCAATCAATTTAGTTAAATTCAATTTAACTATAACAAAAACAAGTTGTTTATATGTAATTGAAAATTAATTTGTTTCAATTGATAATGAAACCGAAATTTGAATAATTAGCCAGCAAAAGATCAATACACTAGTTGGCTAACCATTAAACCAATATGTATTGAACATTAGGAGATGTCATAACTTGACTCGACCGATTCGATCCAAATCCGACTCGAAAAATAGCTAATTCAGATTTCGACTAGCATGGACATGATAATTTAGCATGACTCAAGTTTTAAATTAAATCCGACCTGAACGTCCAGATTGACACCTTACACAACAACAATCGAGGTAACAAAAATATTACTCCCTCTGCTTTTATAAAACTTTACATAGATATGAACTAGAGACTTGGCTGGAATTCATAATAACTCAAGTATTCATAATTGATAGAATAGAGTGATCATTGAGACTAGGCATTGAATAAGCACATGGAATATTATCCATTAAAGATTGAAACTTTATGAATGAATATCAAATTGTTGTAAAAACAACGATTAAATTAATATACAGAAATCAATTTAAATTAAATACTGGTATAAGTTTAGAGCATACCTGAACTGAAGTTGTGATTACAAAGTTGCATAAAGAGAAGGTGGATTTTGTTGCAAAATTTAAAGAAATTAGGGAGCAAACATCTTGTATGAGTTTTTATACACAATAACCAAACACAGATTTATGAAACACAGATTTATAAAATAGAAGAGTATCAAAAAATTATTTTGGGAAGAGATTTATTTTGGGAAATTATATATCCTTAAGATATTTCCTCAAAAAAAACATATATATCCTTAAGATATCACAGCAAATCCTTAGTTAATTTAAATAAAAGTAGACAAATTTTTTTTTACTTTCTTAATTTTATGTAATAAAATCATGTAATGAAATCCCTGTAATAAAGGTCTCTAGTCAAATTTTGATTCTATATCAAGACTCAAAATCACTCCTTTGACAAATTTATGAGATTTCCTTCCGTTTTTTGTTTCTTATTTTTACCTTCTTTTTATTTTTCTAAGATTTAGAACAAAATTAAACCTCTAATGTTAAGCAACTTTTGATTTTTAATTGTGTGTAACGAAAGATATCACAATTTAAAAAATTAGAAGATACTCGTATAAAAATAGATGGGAAAGAATCCCTTTTGTTGCATGAGGATTGAGGAGTGATCAACGAACGATTAAGGGTCAATAAATACAATTAATCAAATTAGCACAAATAAAAATTGTCACGCTTTTTATTAATGGCAAATATATTTGTCAAAAAGAATATATTTGTAATTTATCCACCGTAATCATGTCAAATAGGTCATAGTCAATCAATCTAATACTTCAGATTTGAACCCTTTTGCAGTTTTGCACAAATAAACTTTTAGCCAAGTCGGGTTCGAAGGACGGGCTACGTGCAATTTTACAATAGTATTAGTGAGCTCAAGGCTGGGTTCGGGTTTGATTTAGGTCAGACGAATACAGTTTCCAAGTTTCAACTTAGTGTTTAAATCGATGATTCATTGACGAGTCTTGGTTGGGTTTATAATCAATCGGATCAGTTATCAACAGGTCCTTCCGTTAGGGTGAAGCATGAAGCAGCATCCACGTGGGTTCCACGTGGGTGCCACGGAACAACCAAAACCTAACCAAGAAGAGAATTGGACCTGAAAAGAGAGAAATTACCAAGAAAGAGAGTTTTTAAAAATCTGTACTAGCATTGCTAACTGCCACTATATGTATTATACATTCCAAAATGCATACAGACAAACAAGGCCTAAAGGACTATGGACTAAAGGGTTAGTTCTTCTGATAGAAGTAAAAATACTGTATTATCCATACCCTATTCCTAACAAAACATTGCCCATCTCCATCCCTTAAGATTCAATCTACTTCAAAAAGGATCAAAAAGGAAATCACAGTAATCCTAATGGATCCATCTATCTGAAGTCAGCATCGAACTACACCCGATAACTTTCGTTAAGGGACCAACAAATTAATGTGTTTCATGTGTTGTGTGTGTTTGTGTGTGTGTGAGTACATTGGAAGCAGGGTTTGGACCACCCAACATACTTACATCTGCTAGCTGACACCCGACTGCATCACCGGAAAAAAGGACCAGTTTTGGCAGGGAGCTTCTTCTTTGCCTATAACCTTTTCATTGGCCCACCAGTTCGAGTTGATACATGGTTTATCTGAATCCAAACCATTTACATGGTCGAAATTGAATTCCTTAATTGAACCGAGAGAGGCAGCACGCTGCTTATGATGCCTCTGTCCCTCCTCGAAATTTGTCTGCCCCTTCTCAGAAGTTCCAGCACTAGTACAGTCATCAACTGAGTTGTTAGTATTGTAATTTCTGTCATCGGCGTGCTGCAGTGCTTTAGGCAACGCTGTGGGCTTCTTTTCCACACACCTCACCACATCTTCGGATGTAAGCTCAAAAGAGACACGATGATCAATGAGATAATCGTTGTTTCTGTGTCCATTGGGTATATTTGGAAGCGATGAAAGCACAGAATCTTGTCGATCCAAAAGGATGTTGTCTCGAGACTGGGGCTGGACGGCATCTGGAGTCACAGAACCAGATGCTTGCTGTGAACTCCATTCACGCATGGGCCCCACTTCAAGGGTTAGCAGCTTCTGAGGGACTCCATATCGTATATCAGGGAAGTAGGGGTCAGGAAAGGGTGAGGATGTGCCTGATCCTGAGACAGCAGAACCAGGTGAAATAAGAGGGCCCACAGGGCTTCCAGGATGAAGAAGATAGGATTGAAAATCATAATGTGATGGAGGGAACCTATGACATGCATCACCATATCGGTGAATGGGATCAAGAAGTTGAGCAAACGGCACCTCAGGAGAGGAAGGAGTTGTCAGATGAACTGACTCAGGAGGCGGAGTGAAAGGGGCCGTGGAAGGTTCGGTAGTGTATGTCGAGAAGACAGGAGGAGTGACTAATTGTGTCTCATGGGCATATGGGCCAATGGCAAAAATAGAGCGGGGTCCACTAGGCGGAGAGTACAAATTAGGAGAGTGAGAGTTAAGACCTACAGAGGTTGCAGGAGAATGTAATGCTGATTGTGGTTCTGAAGGAAGAAATGATGCAGGAGATGAGGGAGGAGCAACAAAAGGCATTCTTATGGCAGATGGTTGAGTTGAATGTTCAGATGTAGATGCAGCAACTCCATTTCCTTGTGGTGTTGGCTCAGGGACAAGGACAGCATGTCCGAATTTTTTGCTATTCTTTTGGGAACCAAAACACCAATATGTGCTCAAACAGCCACTCCACCTTCGTTTCTGCAAGTAAGAGAATCATATGTAATAGACAAACTATCAAAGACCAGAGACCAAACTATCATATGTAACCACAGTCCACATAGTTGCGCAAGTTTAGCAGTCACCACACTATGAGCAAACTGACATACAAAGTAATCTTATTCTTAAACTTCCAATAAATTACATAGGAGGATTCGTGAATAAGCACACCACATACACATACCTTTTTTCTTTTATCTTTTATAAATCGCATCCTCATCAACCATCAAAAAATTTTACAATATGAGCATATTTATGATAAAAGTATTACATCAGATTGTCAGTTTTGGGGATAAATATCACCAGAAAAGATGTAGCTTGCTTAAACAATTTGACAATAATTAGCCTAAGATGTGTATAAGGGTTTTATCTTTATGTGAAAGGAAAGAGCCTTGCAATATGTTGTATACTTGTAAAACAAATCAACGAGATATGCTTAATAGTTAATAAGAATCATTGAATCATAACCTTGGAGGGTCAAGCAGGCATCAAGACATATATCCTTGCAAGTATTACTCAAGTTCAGGGATTGCCACAAAGGCACCATATAGTCACAAATGTATATCACATGAGGACATGAGAGACAAAATGTCAAAATTTCCTGGATACTACTCGGCTACACTCGAAACAAAAGAAAACAGATCAGGTGGTGAGATACAGAGAAGACTATTGAACATCTCTTTATCATCCTTACTCAACCTACCTTATACAGACTCCAACAATCAACATTTTGCATATATCAAGTCCTCAATGTCCCGATATGTTCTATAGCCATTTTACCCACCAGTCACCATACTAATACACTATACCATCATAATATTATTACCATTCACAACACCAAATCATCAAGGAGTCTCACGATTCGTGTTTACACACTGAAGTATTCGCGTAACTTGCTAATTAGACTAAGTTTCTTTTATTACTACTCCTATGAAACTTATCTATGATACAAACACATGGTCTCATGCTGCCTCCAATTATTAATATCAATCTTTGTTAGGAGCAAAGGCGATTTCGGATTTCAGCTTTGACTATTCTACAACAGACTTCTATTTACAAGTTCAGCAACAATCAATCAAATTCAGATCATTTTACAATACAAGTTTCACTCTCTAAACATTTCATAACAATCAAACAGTAACCAACAAAACCTACTTCAAAAACTCACTTACAATTCACATATTCAACATTTTGAATCTCAAATTTTATAAATTTTGAGCATATATAAAAGACCCAGATCTTGAATCTAGCACAAACTTAAATACACAGCAAAACCCACTTCATTTGATTAAGCAAAATCAAGAAAACTACCCTTTTTATTTTGATAAATTTCACAAATATTCCAAACAAAATATAAGTAAATATAAATAAATGAAATTGGTGAAATTACCTGAACAGAAGAAGGTGGGACCCGAGACTCAGCAGAAGCGATCGCAGTAGCAGCTGCGCTGACGGTCTCCATAGCACTATTCATCTCCCCATCTCCTCCTCTGTTCATCTCTTTCTCTCTCTAAAAAAAACTAACACTTTCTCTCTCTAGAAAATCACATACACAATCAAATTCAGATTAACAAAGTAAAAAAACAAAAACCCAGAAATCTTATGAAATTCTGAAGAGAACCCAGAATCCAAAATCAAAACTTTGATTCAGAAACTAACACAAGAAGTTTAAACAAGTTATTTAGGGTTGATTTTGACTTAGAAAAAAATAAAACAAATAAGAAAACCCCAATTAAAGAACAATAAATCCCAAATCTCTAAAAATCTGAAATTTTCTCTCTCTCAACAAATTTCTCTCTCTAAAACTAAGCTTCTGAATGTCTGCTGCTGAATTCTCTCTTAAATGGCTTTTGGGGTCAAACACGGCAATGACTTGATTATTATTATAATTATTATCAG